CAAATGTGTCCCACTCAAAAGAAAAATTGACCTGTCTGAGCATTTTTGCGTTGAGTTACAAAAAAAGGAGAAAAGCAAGGTGCATACTTTTCGTTGGACCACTCTGTATAACTGTAGGTAATGGAAAAATATAAATTTAACTAGAAACCAATAATTCGATAAACTTTTCACACCTCACAATTACAAAAATCAATAACAAACATGATTTTGCAATCAAACACAAACCAACCTATACAGAACTATTATTAACCTCATCAATGTAAATTAGTAGTTTACCATAGCATGATACACGAATTCACCAGCTTCCTGATGCCCACAGATAATTTCAATGAGGAATTGAATTCGATAAAACAAATTGCAGTAATCGACAACTTCAACCCAATTAAGGTTCATCACATCTTTGATGAAAAACTTTTCAAACGGACCATTAACCAAGTATACCTCTACATTAAAAATAACTCCAACACCTACAAAACACTCACAGAAAAATCGTTGGATGAATTAAAAAGTATCCTTGAAAAGACATGTTTTTTGCAGGAGTTCGTGGAAAAAATGAAAAATAATCATTGGCACTAGATATTTCTCCCCATGAGATATCTCACACATTGATTTATGAAATAGAATATTTCACAGTTCAATATATGTTGTTTAAAATATGTTGTTTCCGTTAATCAGCTATCGCAACCCTACGAACGATAACCCTCAGAAGTCGAAACTTATGCGAGCTAAGGACTAACTAGGTCTTATCTTTTAACGTGTGATTCCTAACACGGGTTGGACGATAGCAAGTGAAAATCGAGCGTTCAGCCTGGGGCTTGAACCATCGACTCACACATCTGCCGATCGGCCACGTCGAACCGCCCGACTACCGATCGACCTAAAGAAAAGATCATTGATTGAATATCTGTTATGTTTCCTCTGTGAAAATCGATCTATGTGATTAGCTATTTTTGAAGCAAGAATTCATATTGCTGGATTGTTTTGAGCTTGTTAAAAAAATATTTTCAACTTTTTAGTTCGATGTTCTTCAAAAACGTGTTTTTCAGTTTTGACCATTGATATTTTCCGATTCCGGAGAGGGAGCCTGAAAATCAGCCCAAGCCCAAGGCAGCAGGCGCGCGTGTTAATAAAAAAATACTGTTTTCAAATGAAGAAATACATGTAAAGTGAGTTCGAATTATATCAAGAAGGTTACATACAGCGCCATCTGCCCCCGAATAGATCAAGCAATGATGTCGATTATTCTGTCAAATACAGATCCCGAGCTTGAGAGTTACAAACAAACAAACATACATACATACAGGTGAAGCGAATAAAAGCATGTTATTTAAAAAAACATTAACTATCTCTCGCTATAAAGTGACAATCATTTATTTTGTGATATCGTTTTATGTAAATAAATTGTGAAAGATTTATGCAAGGGACCTGAAACAAATGTATTTATATTTCAATACGATTTCGGACTTTCTTTGTCTGAAAAGGTGTTAACAGATTTTAAATATACTGATGAACAAATAAAATGAATATAAGAGTGTATGCTTGCACGGCTGGTGTCAATGTTTTGGTTGGTTTGTGGGTTTTGCCGTGGTCTCCTTCGGTTACAATCTCCATACGTTTCAACGGCAACTGCGGTAGTCATCTTCAGTGGCGTGGTCGAAATACTTTTCTTGACGTCTCAACTGAAACTGAAGCTCTCATTTCGGCCATGTCATTTATAGTACTGAGTTTTCGCTACGTGGCCAAGTGAGAAAAAGAGAAACACCAGTGAACATCAACCCCAAGGCACTGTCTATCTGCCGTACATAAAAGGTGTCACCAACCGAATCAGGAAAATTCTAAAGAAGGTAACGTTTATATCGGTCAGACGAAAAGAAACATTTGTACCCGCATAGTCGAGCACAAGTGGCGTTGGCGATTTATCTACCAAAGATCTGGCACACATCATTGAAATGCGTCAAAACGAAGCCAAGTCAACCAATTTGCGCGGGAAGTACGCACGAACCCACCATTACAGAAAGTGCGCGAAAAATCAGCACTTTGAATGACACGTTATAAATGAGAGCTTTAGTTTCAGTTGATACGTTAAGAAGAGTAGTTCGATCACGTTACTGAAGATGACTGCCGCAGATGCAGTTAAAACGTTCGGAGAAAACCACGGCAAAACCCATACACCAACCAAAACAAATGAAGTTCGATGAAATATTGAAATTATTGAAAATACCGAAGAAACAAAGAAAGAATGAGTGAAAATAAAAAACAATAAGTATAATCCAAATATAAAAAAAAATAAAAATGCTCATATGTAAGACAAAAAAATATTGTGATCTGAAAATAAAGAAGCAATTCACTCTCTAGCTAGACACTCACGCCAGCGAAACGTCAGAAAGAAATTTAAAAAGTCCACGGCTTTCGAACCCGGAAAATAGTGACACTAAATAAGTGAAGAGTCAATTAAATACAAACAAAAACAATGGAACAACAATAAAAAGAAATATTCGCGGAAAAATTTGGAAAATCAGAGAAACATCAAAGCGAATTACTTCACGATGTTTCGGTTGTTAGTATCTGCAATCATCTTCGGCTTATTCCTGATATGTGAGATTGAAGGTTACTTGAACGCTTTTGCCTCTCCCATTCTCGTCTCGGTTTTCAGTTCATAGTAGACTGTTTACCTTGTATACAGCTTCTTTGAACTTTTTATTGGACTAGTAATCCACCCTGTGGACGAATTCAGCTTAGAACCACTTGATGTTGATGGGTCCAAACATGCTTTGTTATTCTCAATTTGCTGGTTTCTCCACGATGAGTTTCTGCACGCCAATATGGAGTTTCGAAGGCCCACCGGTTTCACCGACATATAATTTGCCGCACTCACGTGGTATTCGTAGAGCTGGTTCGATNTCTCTGATAGGGTGAAGAGATAGCACAGGTAGCACACCCATATAGCATGAAGATGCTTTGGAGTGCTAACAGATATATTGAAGATGTATTCGATGTATGTATTCGAAAATATATCTGGGAGACGTCTAATAGATATCTTCTGTTACAAATAATGATTTCTTTAGAAGAGATCATTGAGTCGTCTTTGGAAGACATTTTTTATATCTTTCAATTACACTTCTGTGATATCTTTTGAAATATATTTCAAAGATGTTACTTCAATGAATTTCATAGGAAAACAATATTATCAACTTTTTATGTGATTTGCCATTAAGTTATTTCATATTTCCATCGAAATATTTGAATTATTTTGAAAACGCATAATGCTTTTGTTTAAACCCTCTAATGAATTCGATTCATTATTACAAATCTCCAACAATTACGAGAAGCCGAAAAATATATTTCATAATTAATCAATTCAAACAACTTTATGAGATTTTTATTGGACAGTTAACAAAACCGCAAGACATGTTTCGCTTGACAACTACTTGAATACGTTATGGATTTTCATCAAGTATCGGTCAATTTCATCACATATCTCACCTAACTCATTGACTCATCTATGTGATGCAACAAATAAAATTTGTTGTTTTCAAAAATTCAATTACGGAAAACAAATTTCAACGAATACTTCTACAATTCTGGATCCGCAATTTAAAGTTATGTCATTGATGTATCATAATGTATTCTATAAATGAGTGGCATGAAATTTCAGTAGAAAATTAAATTGATTACAGGGAATTACATTTGGAGTGGGCACCTATATAGGGTGGATTGAGAGCAACTACACCTACCAATTAAACAAGGAGGTCTGAAAATAACAAATTTTGAACTGAAACAAAATCGCTGTTTGTTAAAACTTCACAAAATTCGTGGGCTTAATAAAACATATTTTACTAATGTAGATAAGAAAAAAACTCATCGATTGTGTAGGGGCTGATTTCATTTTATTTTATGTTTGAATACTTGTTCTTTGGTTATAATTTTGGAAAACTCCGGAAATGGATTTATTATGGTTCATTGTATAACAACCTGGAGCAGCACAAAGATCTAAGAGGGTTTGTAAACACACTCAGAAGAAATAGGTGGTTCATGATAGATTTTCAAACAAAAATTCTTTTAGATATAGGACATTGTTTATGCTATGTTGTTATTATATAGATGGATAAAGAGTTAACAAATTCATCAACATTGTGACTCATCTGAGTAACCCACGTGACACACAATTCTAGAGTCACACAAATCACTTATACAGTGATTTTATGACAGTAACTCATTGATCTGTTGGTTGATAACCATTCCATTTCAAATAAAAAAATTACTAATGAAGTTTATTGTGAGATTTCTACTATGAAAACTGCTGTGATAATATTCATAGCGTATTAGTAAGTCCTGTAAATGAAAAATTCAGAAGGTTTGCTTGGAAATCACTACTATGCAAGTTTTGATAAGGATTTCCATCAAGGATTGGCCAGTTCCATGCATTTCTTCATATGAAGATGGAGAAGTAAAATGCCAAAAACGTTCTTCCCCATGGTTATATACTAGTGTAATGTTGGAAAAAAGCAGCACAGTTAATCAATGAAGATTTTTTTAGAAAAAATGTTAATCATTGAACTGAAATGTGACAAAGGAGGTTAAATACGATGTGAAGGTGATACTTTTGTTTTTTTTTTATTGTTTCTGGTGTGCAAAAAAGGCTGAAAAAAGCGCCAATTTTTTCTTTCGGAATCCACACATCAAAATACATAAGTACACAAAAATGGTTTTTGAAAATCGCCTATTCAAAATTTCACCATTTGGTGTAGTTGATAGTGATTATTCTGATGGATCATAACAACCAATAGATATTACTGAAGTTTTCTCCCAACACCAAAACGTTACTTCAACACCTCGACACGTGTTTCGATCACCAAGTGATCATTTTCAAGAGGAAGATTAAACTCTTCCTCTTGAAGGTGTTAGGAAAAAACTTCAGTAATATTCATTACTACTCCAAAGGTTCCAAACTGTGCATCACAAGTACATAACAGCCAAATCATGCCTACATTTTTTTTCAGCCACCCGTACCTGTTGAAAAATGGGAAGGAATATATGATGCCACAAAGGATGGAATGCATTGTCCACAACCGCGTAGATTTGGAAGCTCTTCTGAAGATTGTTTAATTGTTAATGTTTACACTACTCAGGTACGTTGTTAATATGTTCCAAAAATATTGTGAGAGTTGCATGATTGCTGAAAGCAATCAATGATCTATCCTATCTAAGGCTTTTGTATAGTCCAGTAACACAATTAGTCTCGTATATTATGTCTTCGGTAAGCTTCAGCAAAGCTGTTGTATAGCCATGATTTAAATGGATACCTGACTGAGTACAACGAAGAATGTTGACATTTTCTACAATGATATACGATGTTTACAGAAAGACCATCACGACCAACAGCTTCAGTTTTGATTGAGAACAATTGCTCTGGTCTTGAGTAACCATTCTGAAATTGACTCTATACATCCAGGTCTACTCATAATTTTTTCAAAATTCAAGAGATAGAAGATATAAATGATAATGTGATGGAGTCCTTAGCTCGCACAAGTTTCTCAACTTCTGAGAGTTGTCGTTATTATGGGGGCGACAGCTGATTAACGGAAAAACAGATTTTAAATAGATTTTTTTCGAACAGATATATTTTCTCATTTTCAATAAACCTCACGTAACACAACAACAATGCTCCATTGGTTGGTAAAGTGGACTCATCTAACTGAATAGAGAATTCAGAAGTCTTTAGATGATTGCACAATAACACTTCAATGTTTTCAGCCATCTCATCAATTCGTCTTTGTACGGAACTATTGCTCAAAGGAATTTTTCGGATAATATCTGCCGCTGGTTTATGAAGCGCAGTAGTTATTACTTCTTTTATTACCGGTAAAATTAAATCCTCTCCAATAGTGTGAGGTTTACCTGTTTGAGCAATTAGTAGGAAGCTCGGAGTCCGTCGCCATCTTGCTTAGAAGCCGCTGAAAAATGTTTTGACACAGTTGGCTGTGAGTGTTTCTTTTCCAGTTCTTGAAGATAAGTCACACTTTTGTCTTTTTCATCTGCATGCATTTTATTCAAATGATCTTGTAGCCTTGAGGATTTCATTGCTTCATGCGAAAATGTTTTTTGACAAAGAAGGCACATAGGCGAAGATTTATTCGTGGGAATTTCAATAAACCCATATTTTATATATTCCGCGCTACACTGCCGTTTATTCTTTTTTGTTTCCGACATAATTTTGTCTTCAAAATTGCCGAAGTGAAGAATCGAATATTGAAAACTTGCTAATGACACCACCACAGTATTCACCAACGCGCATGCAGCACTTCACTCAGCTAGTCGCTAACAAAATTCACTTGTTTTCGTTATATTGTCGAACGACATTACTGGCTGGATGTCGCGTTCGCTTCTATATGAGGCAGCGGGCGGGCCTAGTACTTTCGAGAATGGAGACTAGAAACTTCTCGCTTCGCATTGAAGCTTACCGCCATCTATTGTACGGTTTGACAACTATCGAACAGGAAATATTCACTGTCTAGTCCCCTAGATGACGTTACACGAGAAAACACGCGTTAAGCGTGAAGGAGCGGTCAGTTTGTGTTGATAGAAAAAAAAACATTTTGGAATTAGCTATCGCCCCCCTAAACCGCTTCAACGCCCCCCAATCTTCTCTGTACCCTTTACTGCCCCCGTATAGGCCTCCAGCGCCCACAATGGGGCGTTATCGCCCATTTCGAGAAAGACTAATCCAGATTAATTTCTGAACTGAAAACCTCAATGTGAACAATTGATTTCAAAATTGAGTTCAATGAAATATATGTTTGCCAACCTTCGTACTGTTTTGGGGCAATTCAACTCATGCACGCGATATTTTTACCATACAAAAATGAATTGTGAGGTGCATATTTGAAATTCCGCGGATGGGTTCATGCAAAAATATTTATGAAAGTTTCAATGTACTGATAGTTCCTTGTTTATACATTTTACACAGAACACACATGAATTTCTGACTCCGTACTACTCTTCAGAAGAAGACTTAATCTATTCATAACTGATAAATCATTTTATAATATAAATTACCTTTTATTATTTGATAACGTATGAATTACATATACTTGTATTTTAATGAACATTTCATTGTATGCTTTTATAACTTTCGCTGAATTGTTTACAATTTCCTAAATTTATATTCAACACAAACTGACTATTCCTATACATGTAAATGTCACAAGGAAAATAAACTGATTNTTATAATCTCCAAACGTTTCAACTGCAACTGCAGCAGTCATCTTCAGTGGCGTGGTCGAAATACTTTTCTTGACGTCTCAACTGAAACTGAAGCTCTCATTTCGGCCATGTCATTTATAGTACTGAGTTTTCGCTACGTGGCCAAGTGAGAAAAAGAGAAACACCAGTGAACATCAACCCCAAGGCACTGTCTATCTGCCGTACATAAAAGGTGTCACTAACCGAATCAGGAAAATTCTAAAGAAGGTAAAGTTTATATCGGTCAGACGAAAAGAAACATTTGTACCCGCATAGTCGAGCACAAGTGGAGTTGGCGATTTATCTACCAAAGATCTGGCACACATCATTGAAATGCGCCAAAACGAAGCCAAGTCAACCAATTTGCGCGGGAAGTACGCACGATCCCACCATTACAGAAAGTGCGCGAAAAATCAGCACTTTGAATGACACGTTATAAATGAGAGCTTTAGTTTCAGTTGATACGTTCAAAGAAAACCACGGCAAAACCCATACACCAACCAAAACAAATGAAGTTCGATGAAATATTGAAATTATTGAAAATACCGAAGAAACAAAGAAAGAATGAGTGAAAATAAAAAACAATGAGTATAATCCAAATATAAAAAAAAATAAAACTGCTCACTTGTAAGACAAAAAAATATTGTGATCTGAAAATAATGAAGCAATTCACTCTCTAGCTAGACACTCACGCCAGCGAAACGTCAGAAAGAAATTTAAAAAGTCCACGGCTTTCGAACCCGGAAAATAGTGACACTGAATAAGTGAAGAGTCAACTAAATACAAACAAAAACAATGAAACAACAATAAAATGAAATATTCACGGAAAAATTTGGAAAATCAAAGAAACATCAAAGCGAATTACTTCACGATGTTTCGGTTGTTAGTATCCGCAATCATCTTCGGCTTATTCCTGTGGACGAATTCAGCTTAGAACCACTTGATGTTGATGGGTCCAAACATGCTTCGTTATTCTCAATGTGCTGGTTTCTCCACGATGAGTTTCTGCACGCCAATATGGAGTTTCGAAGGCCCACCGGTTTCACCTCATATCGTAGGGC